TGCCAAAAGCAATAATATTTCTTCGGTAAATGTCGTTTTCTAAGTAGAAAATCCAAAATCACGCTACTCTTCTTCATATTTCTTCTGCATAATAACAATTTACTATCCGAATTTCAATTATTGTAAGACTTTATTGATGAATTCTCGCAAAAAGCCACTCGTGGTGCTTGTATAAAACTCACATATACATATATGTATATACGTGCAGCTCTGATAGCCTGCACATGTGTAGATAAAAGCAGAAATTTCAACCGAAATTCCATACTAACTCGTTGCGCTTATCAGTAATTGCATGCATTGAGCATTTGTGGTTAAATAAAATCTAATGCAACTGGCAATTTTTGTTGCAGAAAGTCTTCTCGTCGCCATCGAACTATTGGCGCAGTCACATTTGCATGTAACAGTACACACGTGTATGTACATTCTCCTGAGTATGCAAAAGTATGTAACTGTTCATGCTACAATCGCAGTGTTTGTAAATCCTCCACAACATATCCCATTAAGGCATTCACTATACTAAATATATATAATATACTGTGTAAATATGTATGCTTGTTGCGAGAGTGTTAAAATTTTAATCAGTTTTACTCTTGAATTTAGATGCAGATGTATATTCACACATACATATTTTACATGTAGTTGCAATTTTAATTTGCTCTTAAATGCATACAGGTTCTTTTATACATAAATATGTATGCCTGCATGCTTGTACAATTGTTGCTTTTGCACGAGACCTGCTTAGACACACTCGAATACATGCGGGTAATAGTGTTAAGCAATTCCATGTTGCATTTATGGTTTAGCTTTGTGGGAAGAGTTCATTTCTGTCGGTGTTATATGCTATTAAAAGTTAAAAATCTAATTATGAAGTGTTGCTGTTATGCAATAAGCTGAGCAGCAGGACGTAGGCTGAGTGGTGATTATCAGATAATTAGTTTGTGAAATTAGCAAGGTGTTTGATTTTGAAATGTGTTCAGACTGACGTTTGTATATAGAAAATGGGAGTTTGCAAATCTCATCGAATGGTTAATTACCAAGTGATTTTTTCCTTGCAATATACGAATTTTCAATTAAATCTATTTCTAATATATGATCGGCGTTATTAATATTTTCCATATCTTCAAAAGAAGTTTTAATTCTTTTCAGCTTGAAATTCAATAAAACTGTTTTATTTTTTATATCGTTAAATTATATTAAAATTATTTAAATAAATTTAATTTAAATAATTTTAATTCTATGCTCTTTATCGTTTCTGTTTTAATAAGTTTTATATTTATTTTCTATTTTTGTTTTTATTTTTTTAATGCTATTTTTCATATAAAGTTATTTTATGTATTCAATTTTATTATCTTTTTCGAATTGTTCATTTTATTGCATATTATTAAGTTTTATTTTAATTGATATAACTTTTTCAATTTTTTATTTTATTTTCTTCATTTTATATTAATGTTATTTTTCCTTTTAAATTATATTATTAAATATATTATACTTTACTTTTAATTGCTGTAAAAGATTTTATTTTAAGTAATTTTATATTAAGTAATTTTTTACAAATTTATTTTAGTTTAACTAATTTCATTTTAATTTTTTTTTTTCATTTTATATTTCATTTTATTTTCTTTTATTTTACATAATATTCTGTAACTTTTTTTTAACTCATGTAGTTTTATATTGATTCATTTTTTTTTATTTTATTTTATTTTATTTTATTTTATTTTATATGATTTTATTTTATTTTATTTTATTTTATTTTATTTTATTTTATTTTATTTTATTTTATTTTATTTTATTTTATTTAAATTTATTTTTTTATTTTATTTTATCTTTTTTTTTTTAATATTTTGAATGACAGCTCTTGATTGATTGATTGCTGAGTTGCGACATTCCTCTTTTGTGAGTGACACGATAGTTGTAAGGCGAATAATCTGAAAACAAAAATCAAAACGGTGTCTTATTCTGTATTACATTGGCTAGCGGTGACACTACAAAGAAACACACGAAAAAAAAGAAAACAAATTGCGGACTTTCTAATTTTTTTTTACACTTTTTTTCAATTTTAATTGTTAACACATTTTATATAAACCATCAATATTGTTGGTAGATCACCCAGTTAAAAAAACGTGCCTCGGTCTCCCCGCTTCTATATTTTATTCTTGATCTTGTGGATCTACGGGACTAGTTCTATGTTATTTCTAAGAGTTTTTTCTTGTAATTTAGAGAAAAAATCGATGAGTTGAATTTTTTTTAGAGAATCTTGGTCTTAAATCAAGCTCAGCGCTTCAAAAGTCTTTGAATATCAGTTAAGATTGAATTTGAATTTTTAGTTTTTGGGAAGACTTTGTATATATAATATTATATGCTTCACTATATCTTGGTTAACATGGTAAAAGCACATTTTTCTTAAATCCATTGTTGTTCGGCTTTGTTGTGATAAATATTATTCAAGCCATATTTTATAAGAAAATTTTTCATTATCACTTTGCATACTTAAATTGTATTGTCATGTAAGTCTTGCATAATTTCAAGGATGTATACTCGAATTTTCCTACGGGGCATGTATTTTACTATATTTGAAAATTACTTTTCTGCAGAAAATTTAGGTCAAACCTATGTGAACGCATCTACATCTTGCATGTATTACAACATTTACATATTCATAAGCGGGATTAACTTATAATCACAATAATCAAGTGTCTGTATAACTGCTCAGCTTTTAATCTGCTTGATTGCTCATACGAGATTTCGAAAAAACTACATTCGTTCCCTTGCTCATACACTCACTTACAGGCAACTGTAGCTGTCGCACACACACACACACAGGTAAACTGTTCATGACCCACTTGGTTCTTTAACATACATACATGAACACATATGTATGTGGGCGTAAAATATGGTAACCCGTTTGTAGATCAAAATATTATTACAGTTACCACATAAGGTTTCTCCAAAGTATACACAAATGCAATTTGCACGTATATACGCATATGTATGTACATAAGCATGTATGTGTATATGTGCATACATGTTACTATTGTCTCATTTGATTTGAAATGAGCAAAGCAGGAAGGAATGTTTGAAAACTTTTACGTTTTACTAATAGGAAATGCCACTCTCTCTTAAGCACACACACACGCGCACATGTACACAATACACATAAACACACATATGGTTGTACTCAGATAGATCTAAATGGAATGGTCGTCATATGCGCAGGAAGGAGGTCTACTTGAAGGAAGGCAATGAATATAGATGTTGCCATTACACTTGACTGTAAGTCAAACAAAATTTATATTTACTATACAAAAACAAATAGAACAAAGAAAAACAACAACAATGGCATAACTTTTGTAAAATAGTAAAATATCATGGAGCTGCGTTCCAAATCAGCAATTTCACTCGAATGCATCAATTTGACTTGGCAATCGGTTAGTGTTCACGCTTCACTCGTTGCACATGACAAATAAAAGCACACACACTTATGTCCAAATGTATGTATGTACAATCATGTAAGTATGTATGTGTATCAGCGAGTAAATAGTTTCATGCTTATACAGCACATTGAGATACTACAAAGACTACTGACTAAGGGTGACTAATAAAAATTAATGACATGAAAAAAATGTCCATTGAGACAAGAAGAAATTAATAAAAATAAAATTAAATTAAAAGTAAAAATAAAAATTATATCAAAGTGTTATTAGTCACAATTAAATAGGTCATTCATGGTGTACACATGTCCAAGTACATATATAGTATGGCAATGTACGAATATAAAGGGTGATGTTTTGGCTATTATCTTTGTGGCAACACTGGTTTAAGCATCTGACGCACATTTAGTGTTTTGTCTCACTGTCAAACAAGTTCAGTTGGGTCTACAATTGAACCTTGAATCCTGCTGTATTAAGAAAGTTCATTGCGCCCTTTTGTTTATCGAAAAATGATGTTCAGCGGCGAAGATAATTTTTGGCTTAATGGGTGCGTAAATAATCAAAATTGTCGATTTTGGAGTGAAGATCGGCCAGAAGTTATGCAAGAGCTACCAATGCACAATGGACTTGTTGAGAGGCGAGTTCGGTGAACATTTTTTTCACATTCGGGCGTTGGGCGCCTAGGTCGTGCGATCTAACATCTTTAAACTACTTTTTGTGGAGCTATGTTAAGTCTAATGTCTATCCAAACAAACCCGCTTCAATTAACGCATTGGAGGACAACATTGAAGCATTTATTCGTGAGATACCGACCGAAATATTGGAAAGAGTATGCCTTAATTTGCATGAAGTGATCTTCAAGCATTTAATTATATGGACCCTGCCATCTATTCAAATAAAGATTTCATGAATTTTTCTGAATTTTAAGTGTTTTTTTATTTTTTTTTTTATTTTTTTTTAAAGCTTTCCTATAGCTCACAAAAACTCACCCTTTACAAAAAAATATTTGCTCCAAAACTTTATTTAAATTTAGAAAAATTGTTTTGCTTCTTTTTCCCACTGGGTCCTGCTTTTTCCAAATCAGCCTACTGCTTTAACCATTGCAATGTTAATTATACGCCATGTTGAGCAAAGTAACTTCCACAAATGATTGCATTGACAATTGGGACTCCATCAAATGTATATCTAAAAGAAATTATATTAAATGTAATATATAATATTTTCTTCAAAATTTACGGAATTTACGGAGCATGTAGTTGAAAAGGTTATTTACTTATTTACATATTTACAAATATGTTTATAACAGTGTGCAACACCTTTATTAGGTCAAATCTGACGTACACATTAGTTTTCACTTCAATACACGAGAAATAATAACTTAGAACACTTTAAACAAAAATTTCCAACTCATAAGGTAAATTTTTAGTAGTTTTGAGTTTTACTTCACGAATTCATCAAAAAGAAATAATCGAAAAAAATAGTTGGAATAGTCGAAAAGTCTAAAATATTCTAAATTTTTTTTATTATTAATATTATTGTATATTTTAAGGCGTTTTTGAAAAAATCGTTAAATTAAGCGTGCCACAGCTTATTTTATTGAGGTCTCCTGAGTGTTATCCTAAATTTTCCATTCGATCCGTATAAAAGTTTCGGCGATCCAGACTCGGCAAGGTGGGCGTTCGAAGGCAGGTAGGCTGAATTTAAAATTTAAATACGAGTTTTTCGAAACTTTTTTTTCGATGTTAGCTATACACTACTCAAAAAAAAGTTTGCTAAATTTTACACAGGTCCTTAAAAATTATACGAAGTTTTGTTTGTTTTCAATCACATCAGTAAAAGAAAATGTTTGGGAATTTTTCGAAATTTGAATTTTTTGTATAGAATAGGCTGTCAAAAATCCAATTTCCACTCTTGTTTTCCTTCGCCCCATTTCTATACTAAAATATTAACTACACCAATAATTTTTTTCTACTCCCAACGTTCCTGTCATAAGTTCTATTGTCTACGCTAGCAATTTACAAAGACATAACTTTCCATGGAATCTATGAATTTGTTCGCTAGCCCGCTGTGTATTGTACTTTAATTAACTTATTTGAGTGCCTGGAGCATACCTTAAAGCGCTGCTCCCACCGGAGTATCAAAATTATGACCTTAACGCCAGGGTAAGTATCTTCGGCTCAAGTCTTGGAAAATTTAGCTTCTATTAGGAAACAAACCGAATGGGTTGAGTCTGATGGATTATCTGTGCCACAAGAATACAGCGCAGGAAAATGATTAAACAACAAGGCTGTCTTCGTGTGAAAAACTAACTACAAAAACGATTATGCTGTAATGGACTTGTGAACGCACCTCACATCGGCTTAGGCTAACATCTTGTCGAGAAATACATACACGCAGCCACGTCTGAGCAGCGAAGAATGAACGTCAATAAAAAGAGAAAAACTTCGACGTCGAAATGAAGCAGGAGCCGTAGACAGCTGTTTGTTTTCTACTCGACTTGTTCATCTGCGCATACCTGAGGGCACTGGTTAGCAAGTCGGTATAGAGAAGATGAAGAATGATATTTCAAAATCCCAACGTATCTCAAGGAACAACACTACTGGTTTTTGGAAAGGTCGAAAGAACAGCTGGCACGAGGAAAATTGCAGTGTCTCCTCAGCAAGATAACAACCGTCGATCGGCCAAAACACGCGTCAGATAAGCTAGATCCGGAGAATTAAATGCTTGAGTACGGAGGGTTTCAGAAGTGAGCCACAGTTAAAAGGTGCCACGACTTACAGAAGATATCACTGGAAAATTTTAATGGAAGAGCAAAAGAGATGATCGAGCGACTGATGCGCAAAGTATAATAAATTTATGGAGGGAACAAATTACCAGACTGTTGAATGGCAGTGAGAATGGTACAAAAAAATATTAATTAATTAAATAAATTGTTTCCACATTTTCGGTTGCTCCTCGGCAGAGAAGGTGAATATACCACTGACTTGGAATAGAAGGATTCTTATAAAAATCCGTCAGACGTTCGGACGAATTGGAGGAGCTCGTCCATAAGTCGTTTTTTCTCTAATTAAACGCAAAATATTGTATATGTTTATATGTATACCACAGACGAGTATATAAAAATTTTAAAAATAATTTTTCACGATGCCAAACAACTTACGCTATAAAGATATTGTCCTTGGGTCATAAACTTAAAATATCACATTTTAAGAACCGAACATATAAAAAATATAAAAGAAAAAGAAAGTATGCAACCCTTTGTGTGGATAAGTGGATAAGGCGTGACAAAGAAAGACAACCAATGGTAATTCCATCCCTATAGCATAAAACAGTTGGATACATATGAAAGGGAAACAACTACTCACATTATTTTTAGAGCAATAATTAAATAAAGAGCACTATATGTGGCCTGTAAAATACAAATGTGTTCTGTCAGTCATTAAAAATAGCTAAGGACGTCTGACACCCGCTGCTCTAATAACAAGCGCTTGGCACTGATTGCTGACGACAATAACAAAAAAAAAAAACAGTAAAAAATGCTGACAACAATGACGAAGCGGCAGTAGAAGTAATCACAATAATAATAATAACAATAATAATAATAATAATAATAATAATAGTAACAAGAGCTATAACAATCACACACCAGACGTATATGTATGTTGGTGTTGTATTTAGTATCTAAAAAAGAAAAAAAAAATTCAAACACAATAAAAATTTAAATATTGACTATAAAACGACAAAATGCAAAGAAACTGAAAAACTAAAAAAAAAACACGCATTTATAAGGATAATGAAAACAACAACTTGCCATAAAGCAACCCAACAGTGATCAGTACGATGACGGTTATGATGATTACTTAGAATAGCATTGCTGATGTCAGCTATGCATGTTGCCGTTGGAAATAATGTCAGACGACAAGTTGACAAGTCGGCATTAAAACGCTGTTAGTGTCATAACAAATGTCTATCAACGCGTTAAGGGAAGCGAACGTTAAAATAAAACTGGCGAAAAAATGTGTGAAATAAAAGCAGAAATAAAAAATTATCTCACAGTTATGACGTAATGAGCAGGAAGTTGTTGATGCCACTAAAAATCATTTTTCCGTTTTTTTGTGTTTTCAACATACTTTTTGGTACCGTTATATTATCAAATCTGAATCACTCAAGCTGTAAATCACTAGCAGAGATCGGTCGGCAGTTCAACATAGCGCTGCGTCCTAACAACTGGAAAGCTTTCGTTATTTTGTTTATTTTTTTCTTAACTCAACTCTTTATAGTTTTCGTGTGTGTACCATTTCGTCCATAAATTTCTCAGCATATACAAGTTATTTATCTACTCTGTTCCTTTTAACCTTCTTCTATAGCTTTTAGATTTTACTACAAACTTCATGGTTTTACGTTCAATGGCGTTTGCAGCGCGTGAAAGGAGATATACATATACAAAGTTGGTTTTAAAAGCAGCAATTTCGACTTAGACGACGGAGAACGACCCGGACAGCCAAAAATATGTCAAGACGAAGAATTGGATATATTGCTCGACGCAGCTGCATGCCAGACGCAAGACGAACTTGCAAAATTATTAGGAGTTGATCAAGCAACTGTTTTCAGACGATTAAAGCCATTGAAATTCATCCAGAAACTTGCCTTAAGAATTAAAGCCAAAAGACGTCGAACGTCAATTCTGTTTGTCAGAAATGTTGCTTCAATGCCATGCATTATGATAACCCAAAGTGTAAGAGATCGTATGTGAAGCCAGGCCAACAATCGATATCCACGGCAAAGCCGAATATCCATGGTGCCAAGAAAGTTCTATGTATTTGATGAGACTGCTAGGTTGCGCTCTATTACGAGCTATTGAAATCAACTCAGACGCTCACTTGGGACCTCCACCGAAAACAATTTATTCGTTTGAAAAAGGCCATCGAAGAAAAACGACCAGAATATGCGACCTGACAAGAATCAATCATTTTTCATCATGACAACGCTCGGACACATGTTGTAAGTCGAGTTAAAAACTATTTGGAAAACTATGGGCAGGAAGTTCTACCTCACCCACCTTATAGCCCAAACATAGCACCTTCCGATTAAGACTCGTTCAGATTAATGCAGAATGCCCTCACCGGAGTACGCTTCACTTAAAAACAGGGTATCGATTCTTTTTTTACCTTCAAGCCGGAGAAGTTCTTTTGGGGTGGGGTCCAAAAACTGCTTGAAATATGAGCAAATATCGTAGCTACCGATGAGCAATACTTTATGCATTAAATGTATTAGAATTTTTTCACACATAGTCTTAATTTTCAAAAAAAAAAAAAAAAAAAAAAAATACAGACCGCACGAATTAATGCATACACCCAATTTAATTAATAAAATAATTATTTACTATAATTTTATGTTCTAAATTTTGTAATTTAAATAATAAAATTATATTATATAAAATTTTTTTCATATTTATATATTTGGTTTTTTTTTATTTATTTAATTTAATTTAAATTTTATTTATTAATATTTATTTATTTTTTGTATTTTTACTTTATTCAATACAACTTTGTTTTAGTTAAATTATTATTAATTTAATATATTATTTTTATTTATTTGCTATACATTATTATATTTTATTTATATTATTTTGTTTTAATTTATTTAGTTTTCTTTATTTTATTTTCTTTTATCTAATTTTGTTTAATTTTGTTGATTTCATTTTACTTTAATTTAATTTGTTTAATTTTTGTATTTGTTCAATTTTACTTTATTTTATTATATTGAATTTAAATTAATTTGTTTATTATAATTTATTATATTTTTTTATTCTATTTTATTTTGTTTTGTTGTATTTGTTTTTTATTTCTTTTTTTTATTTTAATATATTATTTTTAATATTTTATTTTATTTGCTTGAATTGTTTTATTTTGTTTTGCATTATTTTATTTGATTATATCTTAATTTATTTTATTTTATTTAATTTAAGTTTCCTTTATTTAGTTTTACTTTATTTTAGTTTGCTATATTTTATTGTTAAATTTAATCCAATTTTCTTATTATAATTAAATATAATTTATTTTAATTATATTTTGTTTTATTTTATTTTGCTTAATTTTACTTTTTTTAGATTACTATAATTTATCATAGCTAATTTTATTTCATTTCTTTTTGTTTAATACTATTTTATTTAATTATTTAATTTAATTTTTTTTTTTGATAATATAGTTTAATTGGTTTTATATTTTTATTAATTTTGTGTTATTTTATTTCATATTATTTTAAATTAATTTGTTTAAATTATTATTTATTTATTTTTAATAATATAACTTTACTTCATTTTATTATATTTAGTCTATTTATTTTTATTTAAATAAATTTTATTATTTTTTTTTTATTTTTTTTTTAATTTTGTTTTATAAAATTTGATTTTTATTTATGTTTTATTTCAGTTAATTTTGTTTCGATTAATTTTTTAATTTAAATTATTTACTTTTGCTTATATTAACCATAATTGAATTGGTTTTATCTCTTTTAAGAAATAAAAATAAAAATCGAACAATTGTCTATGCATAAGTGCTTATATATGAACTGAGTTCATGAACACTAGTGTAGGCTGAACTATCTGTTTGCATGTATAGGTGTAGTTTTTTTATTTGTGCAAAGTGACTTTTAGAAGTATTAAACTACTAAAAAGAAACGAATGAAAA